ATATATATATATATATATATATATATAACAGACAGAGGTATGTTCTGGGTAACAAATTTGCTTTTGTTTGTTGCTTTCTGGGTTTCCTGCCAGCAGTAACATAAAGTTAGCATTAGAAGAAATTTCAAGGTGTTAAAAGGTTATTTTTAGCAACATACTTAACTTGGGGTTTTAAAAAGGGAGCTTGAAGGCCTGAGGCAGTAGTTGAGAGCAGTGACTGCTCATGAACTCTGTGGTATTTTGTTTTGGTTGCTCAAGAGAAACTTATGTATTTTGCCTTTCATAGTAGCAAGGAACTCATTTTTAGTACCTGGCAACCTTGGCTACTTGGTGTTTGTTTAGTGAAAGAAAAAGAATAATGAATGAGACCATTTTTCTGTGTCATAATGGCTTTCCTCAAGAGGCTACCTAGGAAATCAAATGGAGTGAAAACTGATAGAGAAAATGAGTTCTGATTATTAGCATTACTATAAACTCAAATAAATCTCATGCTACTTGGCTTAGGTGTTAAAAGGCTTGACCTGGGAAGGAATTTAACTCACTTTACTATCAATAAAATGGCCAAATAAGAGCTTAATTTATTCCAAGCTATTGCTAGGGATGTTGAGAAGGAGGGTATTACTTCAGCGATTCAACGTGATTTACATTCCATAAACCTCAGAAATATTCATTTGAAATAAAAGCAGGTATATTTATGCAAATGCTGTAGAACTTCTCCTCACGTCATTACCCCAAAATATTTAATAGTATCCCTTTAGCCTTCAACTAATATTCTACAGTCTTTTGCAGTCTAAAAGGTCACATATTATGTGCCCTTACATGGATGAGATGATTCTGTCAAAAAATTTCCTTTTCCTTTTTAGAATGAGATTTTTTTTTTTTTTTTTCCCTACGAGTGTGTGATATTTGGTACCATGTGGCTCCTCCTCCCTTTCTGACTGCTTGGGTAGAAAAAGAAAGTCTTTGCCATTTGGTCCTATTTCTAGCAGTAGTGGGTTTCAATAGGTTTTTTCCTTCCTCTTTTTTACATCAATTATAAACACTGTCTTTATTATTTAGTTGGCTTCTGGTATTCCCCTGGGTGCAAAAAAGATGTGTGTTTGATCTCTTTCTTTTTCTAGCAATCATTTATTTCATTAAGCTTTTAGAATGATGAAGCATTATGATGTCAAACATGATGTCAACAGGAACCTTCTTGAATACCTAATTGGCAAAAAAGATTATAAACATTAATAATTCATATGCAGTGCAATGATATCACATGAGTTTCCATTTCTGGTAAGGAGTTTGTCTCCCAATTGCTGTAAAAATGCAACTTCCTAGCAATTCGTCTCTCTCTTGCTTGCCTTTTTAAAATAGTACTCTAGCAGGAGACTCCTGCAGGATGCTCACTCCTGGTGTGTGCCAGTTCTATAATTCTTGCTCAGAAATCCTTGGAGATGATTGAACTTCTCTTAGGGAGGAACTAGAAATTCTTACCAATCTTTTCCCATACCAGCTGTTGCTGCTTGGAGCAGCCAGGACTGAGCAGCCAGTCCTAGCAGTCTTTACTGATGCTACCTACATTCAACTCCTCAGCATAGGTGAGCTGCATTGTGGATACAGATGCAAATGCATTTAGTGTCATCTGTGCTGTTGGCTAGCATGGTCACTGCCTTTCCTCTACTTCATCATGCCCATTTAATCCTTCAGTGGTATTTATGCCAACCTCTACTGTAGATGCTGGGGATTCAGAGATTATCCATAATATTTAGTGAACAAAGCCTACATAGGAAGCTAAGTCTCTTCCAAAAGGGGTGTGCATAAACCCCATTATTGATGACTTCCACAACATTGTTCTCTGGCATTCTAGAGTCAGTGAGGATAATGTTAAATTGACTCTACTTAAAGGAAAATAAGTGTTTATGTGGCCTTATAGTAAATAATGAGACTTTATTAGGGAGATGGGATTAGAGCTACTTTTTATAGTAGTTCTTGACTTTCTAGTCATGATTTCCAAATCGAAGTCACCTGGAGAGCTTGTTAAAGTGCACAGTTGATCTGGGCCCCATCCTGAGGTGTCTGATTTATTAGGTCTTGGGACAGGAACCTGATAACATGAAGTTTCAGGGGCCAAACTTGAAGATCCCATGCTTTAGATGAATTAAGTTGTTTTGTAGCTCAGATTATGTGTGGCCACTTATAGCAAAATGTACTGACCTATTGCTGTGGACACAGCTCTCTCCATTTATGGAGTCAGGGTCTTCACAGCTGTCTGGGAAAATCTAAGTGGGGAGAATACTGGACCATGCAGCCCACTCAGGTTTCTTGAGGTTCAGTTCCCTGCAGGATCATCTTGGGTTTGCATGGATACTGATATTTTGCCTTCCCATCACAGTCCCTTTAGCTGCCTCTGCCTTGGAGGGACCATGCCCCACATGATGGGCATTTGCAAGGTCAGGGAAGATGCTGAAATGGGGTTGGATGTGAGGCAGAACACTGACATAGTCTATTCTTCATTCTTGAACTTCTTGCTACTCCTTTTACAGTTTTGTTGTTTGTTGTTGTTTTTATTTCAAAATAGAGCATACAGACAGAGTTTAGTAAGGTCTGGTGAATCCAATAATTTATACCAGTCAAGCCCATGTTACTTTCTGCTGTTAATTATTTTATCATAATTTGCCTCGCTCCCAACACACAAAATTAGATCCAGCGGTTGCTTTTCTCTTCTTCTCCAATGCTGGGAATTGAACTTACAATGTCTTGCATGTGAGGCAAGACTTCAAGTCAGAGACTGGTAGGGGTGGCCTACCAGCACCTTTATATCCAGCACTCAGGAGGCAGAGGCAGGTGGATCTCTGAGTTGAAAGCCAGCCTGATCTACAGAGTGAATTTCAGGACATCCAGGGAAACACAGAGAAACTGTCTCAAAAAAAAAAACAAAACAAAATGACAACAAAAGACTTCAAATCAGAAAGTGATACTGTGCATTTCGTGGTGGACAGTTTCTACTGACGTCTCCCCTTGATGACTACTCGATGGGTCTCTAATGGGACAGGACAGTACATACAGGATAGGACAAGGTAGAGTCTATGACACCAGCTTTGGTAATGGGCCAGGGATGTAAATAGCAAGGAGAACGTGAGGAGTCCCACATACCCACTTGTGAATACAGAGTCTCAAGACTATAAAGTGAGCTAGAGAGAAATAGGTGAGAACTTAGGGTCAGATAGGTGAGAACTTAGGGTCAGATGGGTAAGTACAACCTAGAATTTGTGGTCTTCACAGAGTTGATGGCCAGGCTGTGGTTTCTGATGGAGGAATATAAATAGTTACTTTCTGCTTTTGTGGGGATCTCTGTTGGCATGAAGAGCTCAGGGCCACAGGAATTGTTGCAGCCAGCCAGAGGCTACAGGCAATCACTTCACTTGGATGAGGCAAGATGAACCAGCCACATATTCCTTGCTCCCTGATTCAACACTGTCTGGGCAGCAAGCTGAACTCACATGAGATAATAATGTCATAAAGGAGCTACTTCTAAGTTGTTGGAAGAAGGAAAGAAAGTCCATGAATGAGGCTACAGGACCCTCAGACTTGAAAAAGAGAACAACTGCCACTGTAGAAGG